AGCATTGTTGTCTCGCTTTCCAATTTTTTATAGAACTACTAAATGACACTGAGCAAGGGAGTTTCATTATTTGCCCCAGAAAAATAATTTTCATTTTATTATTTCACCTCAGCAGGGACTCTTCCTCAGAAACGAGGAAATGTGTTAAAGCCAGAGAACCCTTTAGAACTCCGTGGCATGAAGGACTTTCATTCCACAAACAGTGCCCCCTCCACCTGTATGTTGGATTGAAACCTGAATTGGTTGATCTGTATATGCATTTGTGTCCTTCATGAGGAAAATAGTTGAGGTAAGTATGAAATTTAGGTTTGCCTTCTGGATACTTATGAGAGAAATTTAAATTGTGAAGGGGGGCAGGGTGAGACAATGGTTCAGTTATGAGAGGTCAAAATCAGAAAAGCACTTGATAAAAATATAGATTCCTACCAGAGTGGAAACTGTAAAGGAGTCTGGTCATTACATGAATGACAAAGAACTAGAGTAAAAAATAGTGCTAAACTGCAGATAATTTGTGGTAGAACTGAAACAAGTGGAGGAGAACATTCTCAATCAAATCCTTATGCACAGTATTCCAAATTTAATTAACATTCCTAGTTATGAATGCCACTGTATTTCTGTTCCTATTCCCATTGCTTACTTTTCTCCACAAATTTCATTTCTTACCTGTTTTTTGGCATTTTCCATATCAGCCTTGAGTCTCTTGATAAGGGAAGTCAGGTCTTGAATTTCTTGGCGGCTGGTTGTCACGTTGTTGCAATGACGTCCCCAGGTATCCTGCAGCTCTTGGTACTAAATTTTATGAGGAAATGGATTGGTTTATTTTTTTATTCACTTCAGTGGTAATCAATGCAACTCACTTCCCTGGACCTCAGTTCATTCTACCTAAAGCTTACCTTGGTGGCATACAGAATATTGACTTCATCCTTGCTCCTCTGGGCAATCTCCTCATACTGATTTTTCACAGAAGCAATGATTCCTTCCATGTCGAAGTCTCGATTGTTGTCCATGGATACAACAACGCTGGTGTCATAAGTCATGGAATTCAGGATCTCCAGTTCCTGCAAAAATGAGACAAGACTTCCAGCACTTGGAGGGCTTTTAGCATGTAGTTGTAGCCGCCCTAATTCATGGTTTAAAGCATATTTGGTAAACCCATGTGCTGCAAGGGAATCTGGCTTTGTTTAAAGGCCTGCTAATGTCTGAGGCTGCCAGTGGCCCATTTTCTATCCCGAGATGCAGAGTGAGCTCAAGGGAGGGAAAAGAGAGGTTTGTGCTGTTTCGGAGATGGCAGAAATAGCAAGAATCACACTTGTGTCTGCCTTTGCCAGAGTCTTTTGGTATGCTCTGAGGATGCAGGAAGTCGTTGTCCCCCCCCCCCTGTAATTTCACATTGGATGGGGAGCGGGATAGAAGCAGTGTAAGTCCCTCTGGCTGCCTTCCCCCTCCCTGATGATTTTTTTTTCAGAAGAGAAAGAAAGAATAATTGCTGCATAAAAATTCCTTACCGTCTCATAGAAACATCTGAAGAAATCTAGGTCCTGTCTTAGGGTTTCCAGTTTCACCTCCAGCTCCACCTTAGAAGCATATGCACCATCGACATCCTGAAAGAGAAAAGGCATGTATTGCGACTTAGATCTTTGACCCTATTCTTTGCCCGCTTAGAATGTGAACTCAATGACCACTATAGTCTGAATGTTTTTGAAGAAGAGGCAATAATTCCAGGCATCACCTGATGTTGTATTAGTAAAGAAACATTGTTCAGAGGAAGTTCCAACGAAATGATATGTCATTCTGGAGAAGATCATTAAAAACTTTGAAACTATTATGAAATTTTCCATGACGATATTACTGGTTACTGATTGTCTGATGAACACTGAATACACTTTGTATCATTTGGCTATTTAGCACCTCTTTTGCAGTTTCCTTCGGGTCTGTTTCTATTACCTTATAGAGACTGTCTTCCATAATTGACTACCTGGCAACCTTACTTGGCACCATCAGTGAAATGCAGATATGATTGACCACTATTGTATAAAAACATAAGAACCGCCTAGTCAGATCTCATCAAAGGCTCCTGTAGACAAACATTCTGTTTCCTTTATAGGCTGGACAAACTCCTCTGGAAGTTCATGAGTAGAATAAGATTGTAATGGCCAGTCTGCATCCTCTAATTCCTTGACTAACCTTTTTCAGCTCAACAAATTGGTTTTCTGCAGACACACGTCGATTAATTTCCTCTTCGTACCTTTAAATCAAAAGAAAAAGAGAGAAGTCCCTGAGAGTTTGTACTCCCAGATCTAACTAACTGCAGTGCAAACGGGGGGAAACCAAGGTGAGGGAGACAATGTTGGGCTCATCACTCACACTGCATGTAATTGTGTAGGTTTCTCCTAACATAAACGAGGTACTAAGGCTGTGAGGGGACTAGTATCAGGGAAGAGGGGCTATGACAATTTGCCTTTCCACCACTTTCCAGCCAAACTTCCACCTCCCTCAGGCTTCTGATTTGACTTCACAGTTTAGCAGCTTCTCCTCACTAGTTCTTCCAAATAGAAACCCATGAGCCATTTGAAGAAAGGATGAGATAGAAATGTAGAATACAAGGAAGAACAACACAGTAGAGATTCAGCATTTGCCCTGTACCTTACTTAAACATGGTGTACTAAAGGTGGCTGTGCAAATAATAAGGGGGGGAATTCAGAACAACGGTGTGAACCCAGAATTAGTGTCCCTCTTTTTGATGCCGTGTTTGCAACCATCACACAAGAACCTGCTTGCTAAGCACTGTTATTGTCCTCAGAAGTGTCATCCTGACTAGAATGGACCCTTCCACCCTCATCTTGTGAAGACTGTTGTTTAGAGCAAAAATGGTCCTCCAACTCAGTCAGCATGATCAGAAGATACAGTTCTGCAGGGAACCACAGCCTGGTTCAAGAGGTCATTTTTTAAAAAAAAGAAAGAATGCATGACTATATACATTTGGGGTTCTTTTGATTTTGTAGAGTCCATATATTCCACTCCTGTCTTTTTGAAATTTTCTGAATGTTTTTTTAAAGGTTGTTTGAAGGTTGTTTAATGTTTAATGGCAAATTAACATCTCACTGATAAATGAGGTGGGACCTTGCATCTTTTTCTACTGGTATTTTTACCCTGTTACTTCTACTATTCTGAATCATCTCAACAGCCTTGTTAGCTGTGAGGTCAGTTTTTTAACGTATGCCGGTTTTTGAAGATCTAAGGGTATGGATTTTGGTGGCCTTTGGAGGAGAGAGCACTGGAGTCTTAACATTCTTCTAATATTTTCTTTATTTACAAATATGCAAGAAAAGCACAACTCACAATCTTTGTAGGCACCTTTATCTTTCTATTCCAAACTAACCTGGTCCCTTCCCTCAGCTGGGAGGGATTACCTTTTCCAAGCTTTCACAGTACTTAACAAAGCTATCAAGGGATTATTGTCTAATATTTATCACTTTTATTAAATTTTTGTACATTACAAGACTCTTCTTCCCACTGGAATATCCTAACATGTCACACACACCCAACAACAGGACACTGAGGAACATCAGTTGACCATTCTGAATGGTCAATAGAACAAAGGAATGGCCAACCATCTGCAGCAGCATTAGGGGAGAAATGCTACTTTTTAACAAGCTGAACTGACATCTGTTTTCCCATCAAAGTTTGTATGTTGGGCAAAGCACGTTATAGTTTTAGCCTGTGGATAAAAGAACCCAAAAGAAAGTCCCAAAATTCAGCCGCATTTCTAGAGATTTTGCAATGGCTTTTAGTGGCAAGCAAACTGTCCAGATTGGGATCAATTTCTGCATGCACATTCTTTCACTACCTCAAGGATAGGGGTTGCCTGCTCTGGGTTGGGAAATATCTGGAGATGTTGGGGGTGGCGACAGAAGAGGAGGGGTTTGAGGAGGGGAGGGAACTCAGCAGGGTACAATGCCATTGGGTCTACCCTCCAAAGCAACCGTTTTCTCCAGGGGAACTGATTTTGATCATCTGGTGATCCATTGTAATAGCAGGAGAGCTCCAGGTGCTACCTGGAGGTTCGCAACCCTACTCATGGATACTGTAGTGCTCTTAGTGTCTGCTGGATGCTATTGCTAAAAAGGTTGTCCCTCTAGCAAAAGAAGTGACTAGGAGCTAACTACAAGCAGCACACATAGACAAAGATGGAAGTTAAGCATTTCCATGTCAGAGGAAATAAGGGGTAGAAGGTACTCTTCTTTGCTGTTTTGAAAAATTGGGCCTTAGAAATATGCAACTTGTTGTTACTTTTACTCTCAGTTTACCTGCTTTTATATTCTTCAACTAGATCCTGGAATTTGGTTTGCTCCGACTGTAGCTGTTCCCGTTCATTCAACAAAATCCCCAGCTGCCTATTCAGGGTGGCGATGTAGTTATCAAACATGGGTTCAATAGTGTTCTTTTGTTCAGGTTCTGCTTGCTGAAGGCAGGTCCACTTAGTTTCCAAAAGTTTGTTCTGTTGCTCCAAGTGCCTAACCTGTAATAGAACAGGTGCCAGAGTGATACCATACCATTACAATCTATAAACAAACACCTATTGCTTAAAAAATTGTTGAATTCATGAGTCCAATTGGACCCCGCCCTCCATACATTACCATTTGATGCATTTACAAAACAGAAAAAAGAATGGCTTAGAAAATAAAGAGATGACAGCTTCAAATCCCAAACAATTATGCTTTGTTTCATATGATATGTACTGTCAATCATTTCTTTCTTCTTTAATGCAAATGAGGCACTTCTTATAATGAAAATCCAGGGTGAATCTATTTGTGAGAAATTTAATCACAGTTTGAAGAACTTGGAACCTAAATACAAAGGGATGTGGCTTACCTTATACAATATTGTTATGGGTAGCCATAAACATAAAGAAAAGCAAAATGCTAGAGAATTGTCATATATTATCCTGGAGCCTACAGTATGATTGGAGGCTATGCAATGCAGCAGTCTAATAGTTTGCTTGTCTCCTGTAACAGCTACAGAGGAGGTGGGGCTTTAATGTTCTTAAATACATGAACTGTGTTGTGGAATAAAAATGAAATAGAGTGAACTAGTATCCATTTATACAAGTGAAATAGCAAGAGTGAAATAGTATCCATTTACGTAGTCCTAAAGTACAGCACACTTGCTAACCATAAAGAAACTGGGAACATTCAGATGAAGAAGTGCCCTTCTAAAGTCTGAACGTTGTGGGGGCAGGATAGGGCTGTAAGATTACGTAGACATTCCAAGATTCTTTAGTAAACAGCTCCATAATCAAACACTCCCATCTTGGGAGTGGGAGAAGCATGATGCTCCAGCATTTGACCAACTAGTGTGGATGGCAGAAGTGGACTGAATGCAGCAACTGAATATGTCAGATAGGTTGTGAAGTTGAGAATGTGTCAGGCAGAAAAGCATACCAGCTTCTCAACACAATATGCATCTGTACTAGTGTACACTGCATAGAATCACAGAGTTGGAAGGGGTCGTGTAGGCCATCTAGTCCAACCCCCTGCTCAATGTAGGATTCACCTAGAGCATCACTAACAAGTGTTTGTCCATCTGCTGCTTAAAGACTGCCAGTGAGGGGGAGCTCACCACCTCCCGAAGCAGTTGATTCAGACAGGCATGTCCAGCAATGATGAACTGCCAGGTTAAAATAAATCTGATATCTGATTTAGACTGGAAGTGGACCCAGCAATTGCCACAGCTTTCTTACCCATTTCTTATTTGATGAAAACAGGGATTCTAGTTCTAATTTCTAGTTAGGCATGTATAGCAACTGCTATTCCATGTTATGGAACAGAGAAGGTCAAGCAAACAAAACAGAGGCATATATAATTGGGGGCACAAACCATGTATCAGGACTGTTGCTCAGTAAAGAAAATAATAGATTCATTGAATGAGTTGGGAGAGGATTAATCTGTAACATCTGCAAATATTTGCAGCTGAGAAAAGCAAATAGATGTTGTAAGGAGAAGAAGCACAATATGCATCATCTTAATAATCAGCTTTCTGTGATACAGAAAGGGATGCCTCTTCTAAAATGGCCCTTGGCACCTGCAATTTATACCAGTACTGCTAGGTGTATATATTTAAATACTATTTTTAAAAAGATTAAACATTTATGTCTTGTTACTCAGGACACTTTTTAAGTTGATTTTTTTTAATGGTTAAATCAACCCAATTAAGTAGCTCTGTTAAGATAAATTATCTTAATTCCTCTTTAACCAATTTCTCCCTGAAAGCCAATAATCTGTTTCTTTTCCTCTTTTTGGGGAATTTAGAGTGTGTTTCTAATCAATTCCATTGCGTTCAAAGAGAAATCTGAAGAGAGGAGAGGCAGGAAGGGGGGGTCCTGCAAGAGTTTCAGAATTTTACTCTGTAAATGCTCAGGAGATGCTCAGAGACAAGCAACATCTTCCCAAACTTCCTAACCTGATTCGTTTTGAAACCAGTTATCTTTTAATCTGCTCCCATTCCTTCCACATCCCACTAAAAATCAGAGTCATTAGAATAAACTTGGCACCACGGAGCCAACTGATTTAAAGATGCTATATTGGAGATACTTTTGAGTTACTCCAGCAATTTTGTAGGGAAGCCATCTGGGTTTGGAGGTTTTTTTTGGTATTTTGTACACTATTACTAATGTGGTGACCCACTGATGAGTGCAAGTTATGAGACACTCCTGGTGTGCAACCACTTTTTGCCTCCATGGGGCAGTTTATTAAAATATTACAGGGATTGTAGAAATGCTGTATGCTGAGTTCTATCCAAATAAAGGGAATGTAAGTTATACAGCAGCATTACTCACTAGGTTATTGCCTACAAAAACATATTAGAGCCTATCAAGGAATAACCTTACATAAAAGCATTAGTAATGCTTAGCTGACACTCTGGTTGAAAGTCTGATGAAAAACTATCAAATGAACAGTCCTAAAGATTATCATTCTTAAGTTTTCCTAGCAGCAAAAATAGGTGAGGGAGATTTTATCTTTGTCCCTTTACTGTACTTTGATAGGCTATATTGTAATTTATTAATTTCTTTTTAAAAAAACACATTAAAATAGAGAATTAGCATATCACCTCACCTTGTCGATGAAACCAGCAAACTGGTCATTGAGGGTTTTGATCTGATCTCGCTCTTCCTCTTTCACTCGAGAGATCTCTGGGTCAACCTGTATGCAGAGGGGCCGCAAGAGGTTTGCATTGACTCGGACCCCGTGGATCCCGCCACTTACACCGTAGCGGTTGAGGGGCTCATACGGTCCACCATCACCAGCAACAGCACCTCTGCTATAGAAGCTGCTGCCTAGGCTTTGGGTCCCAAAGCCTGAAATCCTATAGCTTCTGCTATAACCACCACCAAGACTGCGGCTGCTGAAGCCCCCGCGTCTATTAAAACCTCCAAGGCTTTGGCTGCTGTATCCTCCAAGTCGGCTGTGGCCTCCTGTACTTACACTACTAAAACCACCAGACCTGCCAGTTCCAGGACCCAAATCCACAGGCCCAGAACTATAAGCTAAGCTACCAAAATCCCTAAAGCCTGTACTATATCCAGCAGAACTTCCTCCATATCCACTAAGACCTCCACCAGAAAGTTTCCTGCTTCGCCCCATATTATAGTGGCTTATGCTGGTGTAGCCACCACTTCTGATGCCATCCCTAAATCCAGTGCTGAAGGCTGAGGGAGATGAGTAACTCCGTCTTCCGTTGAAGGATCTGGAACTGTACTGTCGACTCATGATAGCTTCTTCAGAACTGGAACCAAAGTAGCTGAAGCAAAACAGGAGATGCTGGAAAAAGCTCCCCAGAGAGTGCAAGAGAATGGAACCCCTTTGATATGACCATCAGAAATTCTCCTTTATATATGCTAGAAGACTTGGGCTTGGCTAAAAGATAACAATCGAACCAGTCCATGCTATTCATGGGATTGGTTTATTTGGAAGTACTGAATAGGAAATGTATTTTTTTTCAATGTGCAATCAAAAAAAGACATCAAAGAAAGCTACCTTTATGCAGATGAAGTGATCTGAAATTGAAAAATGTCGCTTGCCTTGCAATCCTCATGAAGACGATGTTGTAGTAACTAATTAGTCTGTTTTCCATAGAGCAATTAGGCTTGAGCTAAATGATTTCAGAAAGGTCCTTTGCATTTTGCCTCCTATGGATTTCACCATCCTACCCCATCTTTCTTACCATGCGAGAGAGAACATTTTGCAGACTTGCGTCTCAGGGCTTCAAGGTACAAGATATGCAACCTGGCCAATGCAGCCTGGTGTTGCACACAAGGCAAATATTCGGAAAATTGTGTAAACCTAACTAACAAAGCACAGGAAGTATTTCTGAATGCCTCGGATGAATGGGATAGTTCTTGATAATACATTAACAATGGAACAACTACTGAATGTTGGAAGTGCATGAAAAGGAGTAGTCTTTGAAAATCTCAGAACATTATGCAGTCATTATGGCTGTATTGGGATGCAGCCACAGAAAATTATGGGGTCATTTTCTGGAGGCTTCAGATGACTATGTGGTCTCTAAGCATGTCTGGACACAGCTTCAGATGATTATGTGGTTATTAAGTGAATCTGGACACAGCCTCGGAAGATTATGTTGGTCATTAAATGTATCTGGTTTAACTTCAAGTAATTATGTGGTTATTAAGTGAATCGGACAATTTCAGAAAAATTATGTGGTTATTAAATGAGTCTAGACTCAACTTCAGGTGATTATGTGATCATCAATTATATCCGGACACAGCCTCTGAGGATCATAATGTATGGTCACTGAATTATTTGGACACAACTTCAGATGATTATGTGGTCATTATGAAAGTCATTGAGTAATCTAGACACAGCTTCAGATCATTATGTGGTCTTATCAGGACACAGCCTGGGAGGGTTATGTGGTTATTAAGTGTATCTGGGCGCAGCTTGATTCCACAAGGTAGACAGAACAAAAGGAGGCTGAGAAGCCTGAAACATGAACTTAGCTATCTACTAGGTCACTCTGTCTGTGTGGTCCTTGGTTTTTAATGGTATTATTAAATTATTCAAAGATGAACATCCATACATTAATCCTTGATGATTGCTGAATGGAACAAGGCTAATTGGATAGCATCGGTCAGAAGGCGGAACAGAAGGAAGTGAATATTAGGGATGAGCCAATGCAATCAGCCCTCAATCTCAAAATTTGGATTGACTATAACTATTTGAGAAGCACAACTTGACACCAAACCAGTAACAAAACTGACCTAAATGTGATGGAAATGTGCCCAGATGGACCCAATGAAAACATACTTCTTTCTTGGTAATCGTTTTGGGAAGTATATTTTTCCCTCTGGCATGATGTGAAGTTGACAAGGCCTAAAGTCTGGAGCCTGACTCTCCCCCCTCCTACAACCCAAAATGCCTCCTAAAACGCTGTTCCCAGAGGACCCCAGGAAAAGCCTGGAGAGAGCTGAAGGTCCTGCTGTAAAAGGAAGGAACTGTTACAAATAGGGTTGCCAAGTCCGAAGTGGCGCTAGAGCGGGGGACTCCAGCGCTGCTCCGGGAGTGCGTGGGTGTGTAGCGCTCGCATGCCACAACAATGTCACCTGGAAGTGACGCGACCACCCCCCCCCTCGCTGGGGAGTGATGCGTTGGGCTATGTATTGCCCAAACTGTCAAAAGTGGCCGTCGCTCGCTTCGCACGATCGCGAAACGCTTCAGTCCTCCATCTTAGCCAGACCGGAATCCATTTTTGTTGATGGAAGTCCCAAGTTATTAGTTACACAATTTAACAAAATTTATATATTATATGCCATGCAGCTATACACAATGAATGCAAAAATCATGTTAAAAATTGAATAGCTTTAATGGGAAATAATTATTACTAGACAAGATTTGTGGGACAAGGGACAAGTGAAATGAAACCAGGAGATTATAAAATTTGATAGCATCCTCACAGCTGGGCTGCCTTTCCAATAAACATGTATAGGGGAACTATTTTAGATTTGAGTAGGAAGGCCAGATTGCCCACTCTGGAAGGCAACCTCCCTGTCTCAGTCTTGGTCCCCTGCCACTGCTCAACAGGGCAGTAGGAGGAGGGGGGGAAAATGGCAGAACACTCTAGGATTCCTCTGAAACTTTTAAGGTTTTTACCATAGAGTTTCAGGAAAATCCTAGAGTGTCCTGCGATATAGTCATGTCATCTCTGGTTATGTAGCCAGAATGGATATTGTGGCACTGTAGAACACTATTTGCATAAGCCTGCATCCTAGCCTCCCAGTATCCAACCCTAAATTTGAGTGTGGGGAGGAAAATTCAGCTAGGTTTAAGTGATATATTGAAGTTTATATTGGGAGAAAGCAGTTTATTTTCTATCTCATTATCACATTTCAATCCCACCCTAACTTCAAGGAGATCAAGACAGCACCCATGGCTTTCCCTTTTCCTTTTTATTCTCGCCAAAAAATGAGATCACCCAGTAAAGCTTCATAGCAGAGTAAGAATTGGTTTATTTGTTTGTTAGGTTGAATCAGGGAACATAAGGCAGAATTTAGAGTATAAGGTTTTATTCTTCTGTCCTTCTGAAAACCCTATTCTGCTTTCTCCTCCTTCCCTTTTCTCTCTCCCTGCTTTGCTTTCTGCTTCTAGGCTAAACAACACATTCAGATTTTAAAAGCTGGGTCCAGAATCAGTTTCTCTACAGCCACACAGCAGCAACGGGGAATGTTTTTTTTGGAAAAACATAATGGGCTTGGAATGCCACTGGGGGGGAAGGCTCCTGTGTCCCCCCCCCAAGCTATTTTCCTACACTGAAACAGCACTTGTGATTAGTTATTTCTCAATTTTTGCTGTTCCTCATGCACAGAATACTCCGCTCCACTCAATACACCCAACTCTTTAAAAACATGAATATGTAGTTTGGCCTCAGTTATAAGGGGCCTAGTCTACCCAGCAACAGGCTATGGACTCCCTAATGGGACACACTTCTAAGTACCAACAATGAAAGAAATTACAGCTATTAAGATACATTAGGATTTAAACTTCCACAGTATGACATGCTAGCATGATACGCTATCCACTACACCAATACTGGCTGTCTCTTAATAAACTTTGCGGAGGTTACTGTTTTTATATCTCTTGACAATGCAGCCAAAGCATCAACACTGGTCAAAAGTGTTGCTGTTTATGCGCAAAGAGATTTATACCTTTGGCAAGTATAGCTAGCACATAAGCCTATAATAGGCAACCTGCATGTGGAAGAACCCAGCTTGTGAACCACAGATTCCCGTGAACTCACAAAAACTGCCTGAAAGGTTTACTATTTTTGTAGTCTACCATCATCACCATGAATTCAAATACCATTTTGGTTTCCGTTGTATTGCTGATGTTCAGTGACTCAATTTCATATAAGCAGCAGGAGATTAGTAGAGACTTACACTGGGCTGTTTTGGTTTAGCAATAAGGCACTAATGCTTAGCAATTGCAAAAAAAATTGTGTTATTCAGTCAGGCAATTTTTTCTTTGTCTTCACTTCAAGAAAAAATGTATACTTTTAAAAATACCCCCCTGCACACACTTCCTATGGTACATGGATACAGACTGGGGCTGCTGCTGCTGCTGTTCCTGCTGGCCTGCCTGGGCAAGAGGTCAATGGGTCAAAGGACTAGATGACCTGCAAGGTCCCTTCCCACTCTAACATTCTATGATTCTATGACTAAGTAGGTGGACTGGAGGAGAACCTCTTTCTTTCTCTTTTTTTTCTATCAGCAGTTTCTAATGCAACCAAGGGAGTGTGAATTGGGGCACTGTGGGAAATGTAGTCCCCAGGGTACCTGGGTTGGGAAATTCCGGGAGATTTAGGGGTGTGGCCTGGGGAGGGGGGAGTTTGGGAAGGGGAGGGAGCTCAGCAGGGGTGTGATGCCGTAGAGTTTACTCTCCAAAGTTGCTACTTTCTGCAGGGGAACTGATCTCTGTAATTCCGGAAGACCTCCAGGACCCAACAGAGGTTGGCAATTCCATGCAGAGCCAATGCCTGCTTCTGTATGGCTCTTTTCCCCGCACACATTTTAAAACCATTTTATGCTTTTTATGCATTGTATGACATTTATATGCCATAGACACAATCAACACAAAAATAAAATTTTATTGAGAAAAAATGATGTGAGGGGGGAGAAATTGGTGCACAATTAAAGACAGAGAGAAACAAAGTCAAAATGCGGATATTCAGATCAAACCAGGCAGCTTTCAAAATTGTGCCTGAATCTTCTCCTTAGCGTATAGCCATGCCACCTTTTCATGGACTTCGTTAATTTGCGGGTTCAGGAGTCAGTGTCAGTCATATAATGGGTATAAAGAAATCATCCCACTTAGGCCTGAACATGTCAGTCATTTGCTACCTTAAATGGGAATTCAGTACTTGGTGCATAATCAGAATCACCTTGCCCAACCATAGAAGGACATGCTTTTGCACATAACTCTAAGAGTAACACACACACACACACACACACACACAAAACTTGCAAGCTGCAAACATTTGAGATGATGGGAGATAAAAGTCGGGGAAATTGGCCTTCCATGCAGGGCCACCTCTAGCTCTTGCTGTCCTAGTCAAAAATTAATTTAACCTCACCCCTCACATATCTGATTGTATACATAAAGAAGTAATTGTGTTTCCTCTTCCAGATGTTTCTCTTGAAGCTGACGTTCCTATCCCCTGTCCCATACATATGAATGAACAAAACACCTTCAGTTCATTCACTAGTACAGAAATAGAGAAACGGGTGATTAGCCTGATGCCCCCAGTACTTCACTACCTGTCCTGCCTATTAGATTG